ATTTGTGTATATACTTAAACAATACTTGACATTAATTTCCTAAGACTTTTTAAGAGTAAGGATCCAACTTCTTCCATGTGTTTCTTTAATGAAAGTTTTGAATTTTTTATTTGTTAATAATTTAACACTTCTTTTTGAAAATTGCTCGCACATTTTCTCTGCACGATTTGTTAATAAGATTAAATATATTTTTCAGGTGTAAAAAGTTACCTATTGTAAATAATGTGAGCTATGAAAATGATGTAAATTTTTCTCCCCACGTGGAAGCAGAAGCCTCATTTTCAAGGGTAAAATATTTCTGTTTATATTTTTTTGATATATACATATATAATAAATCTAGTCATTTGCAATTTATCTTAATACATACGTTGTCCCCCATTTGTATGACAGAAATTTATAGAGAGAAATGTGAAAAATATTGTAAAATTGTGCACGTAATTATTCCAAAAAAATTTTGTCTTAAACGTACAAGTTCAAAAGAAAAGAAAACTTAGTTTTCAGTTTTTTTTTAACTTTGTTATTTTATATGCATTTCAGAGCAAAAATTCTCTGCTAACAAGTACATCTTATAAAACAATATTTTAACATTAAATTAAAATTTCATGGAAAAATCAAGGTAAAGTTTGTCTTTACCTTCAATAAATATTGCTTACGTCCATAATGTCTTTTAAGGAAGAAGTCATATACACACCAGAATACACAAATGTTGGAAGGACCGAGCATGGAGACTCGGATACATACAACCATCTTCATGAGAGAACGGAAAGGCCAGACATGAATGATTATGACCATGTACAGCATATAGGTGTTTCAGTAGAACTTTGAAAACTTAGATTACAAAACTGTAAACAAAAATACTTTCTTTAATTATAATTGCTTGTATTCTGCATATGTATGTCAATAATATCAATGAGATAAAAGAGGATTTTTTTTATAATTGATGGCTTTATAATGTACATGTATCATTGGTTATGAATCTTGTATGCATACCTATTACCATATGCTTATTACAGAGAATATACCTACTTATAAACGTATGCACATCATTTTATACAGAAATTGAGAGTTATCACTGGAAAAAAGAGACAAACTGAAAAAAGGGAATAATTTCCGTGATTAAAGAAACCTTTACTTTATCAATTCACGGTAGTAACAGCTGAAACATGGTAGAGTATCTCAAGTTTAATGCAGATTGTTGTTTTTTTCAAATTCTTCTCCTCGTAACGAAAGCTTTTAAAAGCTCCGCAACGTTTCATGATGTTATTAACTTTTTAGACAATGTTATTAACTATCTTCTGTAGCTTAAAGACTGTCTAACGTCAGGTTCCATGTCTCGTTATATTAAGAAGTACTACACTGAGAATTTAATGACGTTACATAAAGATTGTGATACATGTACAAAGTCGAAAATAAGTGCGTAATGATGACAATGATTTCTAATAACATCATATTTTACGACTTGAAACATTTAAAGTATACACATTGCTTCCTATAGCTAGGTTTTTATAAAAAATAGAATTCTTGCAATCGTGGTTCAATTGACACAAAGGGGGTTTTCTACGGTAAGATGTGACTTCTTCCACTAAACAGCATCTTATCCATCTTCAGAAGGGGTCTGGAAGTGTTTTTAACCAATCAAGTGCATAAAGTAAACCTGTATCAGCGACACATCAAGATCACTTTTTCATCACAACATTGGCAAAAAAATTTAAATTGGCAATATAACTACCATTAAAAGTCCTATAAATTCAGTAAGCTATCAAAGTCGTTCTGTTCACCTTAAGGTAGTACAAAATACCAATGATTTCTATTTTAAGTCATTTCTTAAAAAGAACAGGAAAATAAAAAGAATAATAATACTATATTGAAAATAATGAATGATCGTTGTAAGAAAGATATTAAGTTGTAGCATGCTTTCGTCATTTTTTGTGAATAAAAAGAGAATCCTATATTTTGGTCACTTGCGAGCTTACATTTATGAGTGTAATTGTGCTATCTAAGCGCAATAAACAAGCATGTTAGTCTCTGATTAAATGCAGTGTAGCATTTGTTCCATAAATAGTGGAGGGCTGATATTTGGACACATGTATAAGATATCCCCAATCTTTAAGTACGAGGGTCATTCAAAAAGTTCGTAGACTTTTGCCTTATTTTTTTTTATTTAAAGTCATATCATATCCAAATTTGGTACACACATTTTAACAACAAATTTGAATAATTTGAGTAAAAAAAATTGGAATATATCTTTATATTTATAAAAGTAATCGAAGATTTAGAATAGCAAAAATGGGGTCACGGAGCAATGTCAAATTAACTAATTTACTAATTTTTCACTTTATAGTATATAAAGGGTTTAAAGACATACCTCTAATAAATGGCACTGAAACAAATTATAAATTACATGTTTTAATTTAGTCGTTCGGTATTACTTATGCTATAAGGTAATGTAATTTATCGCTCCGTTAAAAAAATGTCAGTTTCTAAACCCATATGGACTTTATTAAAAATGGCAAAAAATCAAGACGTTGGTGGACGTCACGGAGCAGCGAGTAGCAATAAAATTTTGCTTTGCATTTGGAAAACCTCTTTAACAAATTAAAAAAATTCTGTACAAACCAGAAAATATATGAAAATAAGCCGAGTATTTGTATAAATATTGAAAATGCGATTTTTGAGGGGTAGAGAGTTTGAATCGGACAATGGATGGTCTGCAAAGAAACAGGTTTTAGTTTAAAATCTTGTCAAAATAATTAGGGACGTCATTAAACGTGATGTGCGTTTCACTGTTGCGGAACTAATCGAGTTACATGTACGCGGTAAAGAATTTGAAAACACTGACAATCTAGTTCAAGTTCAAAATTGTTACCAAATTTGGTGTTAAGTGTTATGGATACGTTTTTATGAATGGAGAAGACGCTACAAACCGTGTATGAAATTATAAAGCAGAGTAATTTTGAGAAACTTTCTCTTCGTTGTTTTTGACGTTACAATGTCGGTTAACCGTGCTCCGTGGTAACAAAACATCCTGCTTTAAAATTTTGCTAACTTGAGTTCTTTTTAATCAAATGGAATAAAACTTCACACTTCGACAAAATAAATGTTCATATCTACGATAATGTGTTCATCAATCATCTTGTAATAATAAAATGACGATAAGGAACATAGTCTACGTATTTTTTTAATGACTCTCGTACCATGAAGGTCAAGGTCACATCAAGAGGTAAAAAGTCAAATATTGTGACGCCATCTACTGAATCTTTAATTTTTTTTGTCACATATTTTTTATCGCCAAAATATCTGAAACCACTGGTGCATTTTTTTCATCTTTTCATATTTCATGTTAGGAACCCTTCGAATCATTCTTTTGATTTTTTGTTAAAATTGAAACATACGTTTTCTCTCATTAAGAGAAGTTAAGTGTTGGATATTTGCATGTGAATTTTAATTCAGACGCAATGTATGTTTTATTTTACATAATATTCTATGCAAATTGTCCAGTATTAATATAACTTTCAGAGTTGAAGTAACAAAAATGTTGTCTTTATAATTAATATTAACAAATATGCAATAGATTAGTTAAAATGTTTAAATAAGGTTCATTCTCAAGTCGAATGTCTGATTTTCCATTTTGATTTTCTGATTTTCCATATTTTCTTCCTACGGGAATCTGATAGATCATATTTCAAACTATGTGGGCAAACAATGTGTGCTTGAATTACTTTCATATTATATATAAAGAGAGATTTTGTATCTAAGAACAACATATTAAGGTTTCAGAAAAATGAATCTGAGGAAAAATATGGGCTATCTATTGTGTCCTACCTTAAAATGGAAATAAACCAATTGGGAGGTTTTTGTTTTTCGAGCACATATGTCTGTTTTTCAGAAAGTTAGCCACGGGGCCAATGTAGCAGGCTTCTTTTAAGACATTCACATTAACTATAACTATCACCTTCTCAAATGGTGTCCATGAAGTCCAATTTATCTCATCAAAACATCTTTGGAAATAAGTGGACGATAAGGTTAACTTTGTTTTTCCCGAGGAAATCTCATTTACAAAAGGGCGGTCTTTTTGGCAAGGTTGAATTTTATCTCTATAAGAAGGATGACTACACTCATAAAATCAACCTCAGAGGGATATCGAGACTATGACATATATATGAGGCAGACGTTGGAGAAAATAATTTAGAGTTCTAAAATTTCACTTGCGGGGTGAGGGAGGTGAGGAGAGGGGGGGGGGGCATGAATGTACCAGGTACCTTTACATTAACTTTAATAACTCATAAATTATCAGTAAAAATAGGAAAATTTTTTTCGCATCTCATTTAAGATAAAGTTAATTGAAAGATTGGAAAACCATAAAATGAATGAAGAAATGTACTTTCGACCCAAAAGTTTACCCTGAGTTTCTTTTGCCTTTCAAAACATTCTTAGTCTAAAATTGAGCTGTGTATATGTTTCGTGCATCCTCCTTTCATCAATCTGTAATATAACTTTATCCTGCCTACATGTACTTGATCCCAAATAAGTTACCTTTTTCCAAGCGAATGCTAGTTATAAATAACAATAATCATTCCTATTTTAAACCTGTACAAGAAATTTATTAAAATGCCCTTAAAACCAGGACACATTCTTCGAACATGTAATTTATTCGAATTTAATTGGAACTCTTGCCTTCAGTTCAATAAATATGTTAACGTTAATAAATGCATGTGCATTTATGTTGAAGAGATATGAATTAATATGAATAAAATATATTTTAATTCTAAATGACAGTGACTTAAAAAAAACTAGTCATATTTAATTATTTTCAGACCATTAAAAAGCTGTAATTTATCAATATTCAAAAATTAATTACAGCTGTTCTTTTCAATTTAGTTTTCAGGAAAAGTGAAATTCCTGTTGTGGTATTTTTAGCTATATTTGTATAATAGAACAAGGACCACTTGAATCAATACAAAAAAAAAATAAAATATTATGACATTTCTAGAGTTAGATATCAGACAAAATATTTTGAAACAATGTTAACTATGAGAAGTATTGTTGTTTGTCTGGGACTTTTCCATTATTCGATTTGCTTGACAAGGCAAGTTATTTTTTGTAGGCAGCGTTATGAATAGGATAATTAATTTGAATTTAATATTTTTGCTTAATAATTTTTGTATATTTAATTTTGTAAATTTAATTAAAAAAATTAATGTAAACGATCGCAATTTAATCCATGAAAATTTCGACACTTACCTCTTAACTAGAATTTTGCATACTGATTAATAACATGATAACGTCCATGTATCACGTCATAGTTAAAAGACAACGTCAAAAGTTGGCCCAAAGATGTACCAAGGGAGCTCCAAAATAAATAAACTTGATACTGTTATTAATAATTTTAAAGTATGAAAACAATTTTTACAGCTATATTCATGCAATTAAGATATTGATCTCTTTATCTGTTTAGTTTAGGCTTACATTTATTAATGGAATATTGTTCTTTGGTCACTGATCATTTTCCTCTGTAATTTTACAGAATGGAACGATACTATAAGAGGTTACTTGCCGCATTGTTCAAAATTTATATAAATATTAGATGAAAACATATCTTTACTCTCAATGGTTTTTTTTAATCCTAATCAAGTTTCAATCAGTAGTAGACATTATGCAAAGTTCCTTAATTCATGAAGGGGAACCAGGTGCTTAGAAAGAGTACGTACCCCCTGTTGCCCGGTTTCAACAACCGTAAGCCTTATGCACCGAACATGTCGTCGGAAATATCCCTAGTTATTCTGGTTCAGAAAGGGTGATATTAATTTATAGGCGTTATTTTTTTACGAGTTGAGCATGTTCGCAAAAATTAAAATCTTCGAAGGTACATGTACAATTTAATATTAATTATTGTTAGCGCTTTGAATGCGTTCACAAACAAAAAATGTGTCTAGACAACCTGCAATAAAAAAAAAATACTGTTTCCATTATAACCATTATTTGCACTTTATCTTTATTTAGCTTATTTCCTTTATTCAAATTCCTGTTTTTGAATACACATTGCTAGGTGTTATTTCAGTTGCGCACCACATGCTCGTCTTGATTTTACAGGAAACAAAGAGGTACAACTCATTTCATAATAATTTAATTGGCAGAATTACAATGTATTACAATGTATTAAAAATTTGAAGATCATAATTCGAAGCACATAAAACATAAAAAAGTAAACAAAAAAAGTATTATTGTAAGACCTGTAAAAATAAAATGGTTATCATAAATTATGTAAAAATACTAAGATGTGTAATAGTCTAGAGTAACCATGTAATTGACGCTGTTTGTTTAACTTATGCAAAGTTAATGAAGATTTACATGCACTTGTTTGTTCCCAATTAATTATCAACCTAAAGGTGCCCAAAAATACCAACAGTACACATTTATAGCCTCTAGGTACAAGGTTGACTGGCATGACTCTCATACATACAATGTTGAAAATTTACTCAAGATGTTATTTTTTTTATCTTCTGTGAAATTTTAGGTTTTTTTAAAATCTCATTTGATGTATTTATAAAACTCGTTCAAAACGAAAAAAATAGCAGCTCGTAAAAAATACCCCTTGTACGGTATCAATAAATGTAGATTTTAATTAATCGTGAAGAATTGCTTTATAAAGTGTAGAAGGTAGTGAGGTTAGAATTTTTGAAATTTGTGTCTCAAAGATCATTCGGGATTTTGAGGATGAACATTTTATTTACACCGCTTCTAAAATAAACTGTAGCACGGTACTTAAAGTGACTCTTTTTAGCAGTTAATATTTTTGTAAGATAGGGACTTGGTATAATATTTACAGGACCAAGCAATGCACAAGTATCTTTATTTGTAAGGATTCTTTAAATACCTCAATAACCAGATCAGGCAAATTTTTTTCTATATGATTTTTCAACATCATCAAGCAATATCCAAGTATCAAAATAAAAAGAAATCTTTATCTAATTCTATTTGACAAAATCTAATAAACACTTTGCCGGAAAAAAAATATACTAAACAGTATGTTCCTTTATTGACTTACAGATGTAAAATGTGAAAAAACATTACACATGTCCTCAGATTGTCTCAACTCCTGACTAAGCCGATATCATATAGCAACTCAGAATGTTTAAAAGAAAACAATATTTTGAAAGGAGAAATACCCTTCAGAATTCATCAACCCTTTAACACCCCATTTATACCTTTGTCGATGTGACATCAGTCATTTTCCAAAAGCAATGTCGATTAAACACCAATAGTCCACTTCAATCGAAGTACTCAGAAGTACACTGTACAGAAAGCCGGACTCATCTACAGAGTATAATGAATTTCTTACATGTACTTGAATCGCGTTTATATTCTGATGAAAAAAATATTTTAAAACTATCAATATAAATGATAAGAAACTGACAGTGAGTTTTTCAATCCTAATACCACGGACCGATTTTGACAGAATCAGAATTAATCTGGTACCGCAGCTGAATGTAAACAAATAGGCCAATCTGGTTCCCTCTCCTGCTTTACTTCGTATGTGTAGAGAACTACGATAACACTGATGATCAAAAATCCTTAAGCTAATGAACTATGTTCTTTGACTTAGGACTGAAGTTTTCAAAGTCATTACTACTAATGTTTATTTATATAGATAAATCTTTGTTTTATTTAGCGTTTGTATTATCTCAAAAGCGGTTGAGAGTAAGAACTATATTTTTGCACTTAACTTTAAAATGGCGACTATGGGGTTGACTTCCTGTCTTGAACAGGATGACATAAGCCGGCAATTGCTCTTTAAGCGATAAGCCCGGCTAAAAACAAGTGAGGTTTTTGTACGCCTATATTTGCTTATATACAACACGACATAAACATTCTTCGTAGTTTCTTCGCTTTGTATCTATGTTTTTTCAGTGTACCTGTATGTTTTCAAGGGAAACCTGTTTTGACGATATATATCGCTTCTGGAAAAGTCCTGTTATTTGCAGCTTTAAACTAAAAGAGATAGAAACCGATTGGATTCCTGGTGCGTCTATGAAAATTTGCTGATTTAAAATCGTTTAAGTCAAGCTTTAACATTTTTATATTTCATAGTTACTTTTTAAGAAGTGAAAATTAAAAAAAGACGATATATTTCAGAGTCTTCTTTCAAGTATTTTAACATTTGTTGCGTTTTAGATCAAATTAAATACATACATATCTTTATTTTTCTTTGTCTTATTTTGCGCATGCAGACTATAGTATGTTATCTTTACCGAGACCAATAAAACATGTATACTAGTATATTTTGTTCTACTTATAATTAGAGAAAGCAGATCGTATGTGTAATCATTCATGTTCCATATCCTTCGTACAACTTACTGAATGGTGGACGTTCCAGCTCTCCGAAGTCCTTTTTAAACTCGAAATAAACAAAAACAAAAGTATTTTATTTCAAACCAAGCCAAATTGCAAACAGGTGATTGAAGTTGATATGAAGAAAATCAAAATGGAAACAACATGTAGAAATAACCAGCATTCAGGTATGTTTATAGACATCGATTAGGTACACAGATATTTGGACAGAGAGGGGAGATCTAGAGGATATGTAAAAAGAGACTAAAAATGCATAAAACATATTACATTTTTCAAACGCATATTTGTTTAAATGATATAACAGCCAATCATATATGTTTCAATCAATAACTTTTGCAGTATTTGGTACTTTTGTTGATATTTGCACATCAGCAGAGGAATGTGGCGGTCAGAAAGTTTGTAAGTTGACAGGCAAACTTGGATTTGGTGTGTGTGAAGCTCCAGGTAGTTTTATGTAGCGTTTTTATTTTTTAAACACATTATGTATCGTGAAAATCTAAAATGATTATTCGTGGTATTCCCTAATCTAAAATGAAGGAAATCATAGACCTTATTACGAATTCATTTTTTCAGTATTTTTTTTTTAAAAATTCTTTAAAATAAATGAATAGATAAATAAACATATTTTTGATTGAGTACAATACAATTTGCACCAATCATATTTTCTTATTGCATTTCACAAAAAAAAAACTGAAGAAAGCAAGTAATAATTATCCTTTTAAGTTTTTTTTTGTAATAAGGGTTTTGCTTTTCCTCAATAAGCTAAAACATAAGTAAGCTACATGTACTACCTTCTCTAAATTTAAGAATTTATGTTCATTAAAATTTTTAATTGAGTTGTGTGCAATTTTTTTTCTTTCAGACTCATCAAGGACATCACCAGCAGATTTCACAGAGACCATTATTGGTAACGAATTGGAAAAATGTGAAAATTTCAGTTACAATATAGTAGAATGTAGCTATAGATGTATACCTTACTTCCGATTGTTTTATCAAATCATCATATTTTTTAAATCCATTGAAAAATATTGGTAAGGAAGTCACGCACTTAAAGTTATTCTGCCGATGTTGTTATGTACCCACGGAACCTGAAAAGTAGACATGTTGAATATAAATGAAAAGTATTTCATTCTGATTAAGAACATTGATATTTTGTCAAAGTTTAAAGAAAATATTACTCAGACATTACTTTGTTAGAAAATATTAAAAATCTCCAAATATATAAATTCAGTATTATGGAACATAAGTGTAGAACATCAAATATTAAATGTTATGGACAAAGCAGATTATGAAAACCCATAAAGAAAAAAGTTTTTATGTCTTCTGTTTAATATAAATTAAGATACTCAAAACGTGTAGTATTATAGTATTACTTTCATCTAAAATCTTTTTTGTTTAGTTTTCTTGGTAGTACAACACTGTACAAAGTGCATGTGCCAACAAAACATTCTGTCGTCCTAAATGTATTGGTCATGTTGTGCGTAAATCTATGGGAAAAACTAGAAGCAGGATCTATGATGGACGTTAATGCATTGTACTTGTTTTGAGTAATTTTTTATATTTGCACAGGAAAGTTAACTCCAGAGAGTACTCTAAAGTACAGTGCTAACACAACTGTATTAGTTGGAACAGGACTTGGTGGAATGGCTCTTGGGATTTTAATTTTTGCAGCTTGTTTCTTAGCAATAAAGGCTAAGGGACATCAAGCTTTTTTAAAGAAAGTATGTCTCTCTCTCTCTCTCTCTCTCTCTCTCTCTCTCTCTCTGTTTGTGTGTGTGAAGGTGTTTTAGGATGTTTAAGTGTGTGAGTGTCCTATGAAAACAATGATAAAAATATCAACAATGCATCATATGACAATTATTTACGATTTAGAGGCCACAAATAATGTAAATGCCCTTTACAATGTATTCCTTTGTACCATTGTCTTCAAATAAACTAAATCCGCAAAAACAATTAAAGAACCAAGAGCTTTCCAAAAAATGATAATCATTAATCAATTTAAATATTATGACTTCATAAAGTCAAATAATGATTCCGTTAGAAAAAAAAAACCAAGATATTCTCTATTTAGAAAGAAGTAACACAATTTCATTGGATCACATTGGATATATATATTTTTCCGATTCATACTAAGATAAAGATTTTTTTGTACTTGCAAGTCAAAAAATATCAGCATGACTTCAAAATGATATGATGTTTAAACGAAAATGCAGGAAACACTCTTAGGACAATGCATCCATCGATTGTACTAATTCCCCTCCTTCCAAATAATTCAATTTTCATATGTTTGAAACATATATTTTCCTTACAACAAAGTATTGTTAACTTAAGGTTCAGGCTTGTGGTAAAACCTGAGTTGAGTGGGGTTGAGTTTAGTTATCTGGATTTATGGAAATAATACTGCGCTATTTCCTATTTAAATTAAATCAAATTAGAATATGATTTTAATTTTTCAAAAACTGCCATTCATTTTGGATCTGTAAAAAGAATGAAGCCAGAAATTCTTGCACTTCTTGCACTTCAATAGTATAACTGTATTAAGAACTAGAAAGTTAAACAGGTAATTAAAAATAATCAAGAGCCTTTAAAATTCAATTTCTCGGTGTAGTTATTTGCTATTCATTTATTTGATACATTCGCTGTCCTGGTTATTATGTTTGTTTGGATAAGAGTACATGGTCATAATTTGAAGCATTGATTTGATGATGTAGTTGTATTACCCATTTTTTTAAAAAATCATTTAACGTGTTTTAAGTTAATAAGTTCTTTTTGTATTATTATTTCATTTTTCTATCTAAATTGACATTGCTAAGCAGAAATTAAATATAAGAGAATTAAATCTGTTTTCAAACTTCCTCTTCCGATACAATAGAAATCGCACTATATTACCCCATATGACTACATTCCGTAAACTTTTTATCAAAAGCTTCATACATTTTTGTGCTTCAGTGCTGTATTTGGCAGGCAAAAAAGAGTGAACAAGAAGAAATAGGTGCATCAAACCCTGAAGGAGATCCTTATAATCATCTACGAGATGACAATGCAGATCACATTGGCGAATTGGATAACATGTATGATCATTCAGACATTATTTTACAAAGGGAATCTAAGGAATATAGTTTTACCTCTGAAAGAAATCCTACTAACAATCCATCAAATGTGGAACAATTTTCTTCAGCACATCGCGGTGATGAAACAGACAACTATTTTTTGATTGAAAAAACTGTCATATAATCTTGTTAGAAAGTCGAAAAATATTCATTCTGTGAGAGAAAGGTTTGTTTGAGGCCCAACTGGACAGATTTAGGACTTTATCCTACTCAAAACATTTGCTTAACTTGATTAACTTCCAAGGTGATGGTTATATGTACTTGCTATGATTACGTATCACACTTGATTGTACAGAGAGTGAAGGATGAAAACAATTACTGTATTATTTATTTACAACTTAATGGACATTGCCAGGAAAATTTACCATGTAAAGCTATATGAGTATAGATGTCCTTACCGGATGGAGAAAGTAATTATTACAAAGGGAGGTAAATACTCTAAAGTAGGTACATGTAGGCACAAACAAAAGCGTGTAGATATGCAAAATCTGAAGTAAGTGTTCAATTTTGTACAAATGATATCGCAAATTTTTGTGGACAATCAGCATTTAAGAGACACTATACAATTTTTTTTGTAAACAACAGTGGATATCCGCTTGTATGAAACTGAGATTGAGTAACAGCAAATAAGAGAGAAAATCAGGCCACAAATCTATAACTGTTTAATTCTACAATTATTATACCAACAATGAAAAGGAGCAAAGTGTAAATGAAGTCATTCATGGAAATATGAGGGATTCAGAAGAAGGCAAATGTATGAAAAAGTTCCACTTGCAGTGCATCTAGTGAGATCATCATTTCATCAGCAAATATGCCTTTCACTTTGAAAAGTAAAATAAATTCCTATTGGATATATGTTTAAACATTCATGGAATGGATCTAACCACGCCTAGCATTCATTTACAATGTTGTGAAGAGGATGACGCGTTTCTTTATTAATAGATGTTCTAAAATTATTATGCATCAGGATATTACACATGTGTCTTTTTTGCATTGGATTTGTAATTTCCAAATTTAAAGATGATTTCCTGTTGAACATTTCAGATACAATTGTTAGACATAAATGCATAATTATTGTAAATCAAGTTTAAAATTTACTAGCCTTTTTTCATTACATGTACTAATGAAGTTCAGAAAATATTTTGAATTCATGTATTGTTTTCAACATTTAAAACCTGTACATAAAGTTACCTTTAATTGTACATTACGGTGATAAAAAAGATTAAGTTACGAACTGAGAGGTTTGTCAACATAATGTACGGTTACAGGTGACTTTATGTATAGGTCTTAAATATCCAAATCTATTGTGCTATAAAATGTACCAAAAACACAACTTAAGTATAACATAACAAAAATGTTTAAAGTTTCAAAATACTTAACTTTTATAAGGAAGGAAATAACTCCTCTCATCTGATTTTTATTCACCTAAATGCATCGTACTCTATTTTATTATAATCACAAACGTTTCATTTAACGTATGTAGATTTTATTTAAGTGATGATTCTCAGGCTTCAATAAAATATAAGATATAATTTGATCTTTTATTAGAGAATAGCTTTGAGAAAATATACATGTAGCCTTCTATTTTAAAAAGGGATGAGTTGAAAATAAAGAGCAGAGGTTTATGTCAAAATCATTCTATAAATACAAATTTTGGAGAGGGTTTCGAAACGCGAGATGTCAGAAGTTGGATCCCGTGCCCAGGAGGATTAAGCCACCCGTCTCTGATGATCTGTCATGGCCACCCTGAAATCTATGCTTTGATTAGTTAGTGGGAGCATTCCGTACTAGAATTAAGTATATATATCAAATAACTAACATTTAGTGTCACACAATTTATATGTCAATATATGCGATTCTGTATGTCATATTTTTGCTCACATTTTTTCATTAATTTGTTTCAAGATTTAACAGGAGTTTTAAATTTGATGTTGAGAAAGATTTGAAAAATAAAAGGCGAGTTAGATTTAGCTCAGTTTTGACATTTTATACAGAAGCTTAGAGATTTTGAATGTAAAAACAAAGAATAACAGGTGTACAAAGTTAACAAGATGCTCTCAAAAAGTCTTTATGACTAAAAGATATATTTTGTTATCACGAAATGTACAATTTCAGTTGTTAGAAGAATATATACCTTGTTAAATGATAGAGTATCTTGTACATGCAAACCATGTTATCTTGGAGTTCATTGTTTCATTATTAAAAGGGTTAAGATTATAATTCATTTATTTTAATAGAACACTTAAAATTTATTTTTTACTCTTTACAATGTAAAATTTAGTTGACTATGTTTGTTATTCTTCAAGACAAATAACACGAAATATTGTGAATCACTTATTTTCGCAGCCCTAGGTTCCTTTTCGTTGTTTTCGAGGTATGGAGAGACACATGAATTTATGACCACCAGGAAAAAATAAAAATCCATATGCATAATACAGTACTAAACAGTTTCCATCCAAGAATTTAAATCATTAATTTTTTTCCCCTCAACCTCGAAATTGACTCCAAAATTTGATTTTACAGGAAAGAAAGGTTAATCCTCTTAAAAGGTGTTGGATCATCGTACTTGTTCCTTATCTTTTAATTTCACAAAGCTTAGATTTTGAAATACAATAGAGCATATTATAATGGTTTTAATATTCTTGCCAGTATGTACAAATCAGATAAATAGACTTTATGAATTCAAGGACGTATGGGAAGTCGTAATGTACATGTACCCCCCCCCCCCCCTGTATTTTTCGCTATAATTACATGTATACCAAAAATTATTGTCTCATCCAACAATAAAAATCCTGCTTTTTTACTACATCATTATTTTCCTGCAACATTTATGATATTGTCTGTCAGATATGTACACATTTTTTTTTGCTCTGAAATTATAATAATCGTTCTCATTTTACAATTTTTTGTTAACAGCATCAATATGATTAAAGCACAAGAAGAAAAAGCTTCTGATTTTTTTTTTGCAGGAAATTTTTGTTGTTTTAGGATAGTCCTTTAACATGCATTTCCAAAAGTTGGGCCAGAGATGAAAGCTCTCGATGCTGACTGATTTACATGCAGCATAAAAAGCTGAAATGAGGGTGTCTGAGGCTAGGTCTCCTACAAGTCTTTATTATATAAGTTAGTACCAATGGTTCAGCGGAGTTTAAAAGGAAAGATCAGTAGTATTTATAGATAGTATGCTGAAGGATGTTAAATCTGAACTCCATATGAAATATGTTTTGATTTTAGGGCGCTAGGAATCGATGATTAGCTTTAAACACAGTCAAATATGCCGGAAAATATTCCCTTCTTTAGAACCTTGGAAACATTTCTTTAATGCACTTCACTCAATAATGCATAACAAAAAATATACCCTAAATGATACATATGGCAAAAACAGTATTCAAGAGCAAAATTCTATAAAACAATACAAGATGGGAACAAAGAAAACGCATACCTCTAAAGCATTTGAGGTAGGATCAGGTGCAATGGAGGAGTTAACATCCCCTATCTACCGGTCACATCCACAGGGTGATCCTTGTCATGATCGGAAAATAACAGAAAAACCCGTCGTCAATTCAATGAATGAATAATGGACTAACAGTTAGTATGAAAATCGTCAGTCAACAATTGATTCAATTAGAACATATTGAGATAACGAACAGTTTTCAAGATAAAAAGTCTATAAAAGAACACAAAACATAGGTAGGGCAAACACAGACCTCCAAAACGTCAGAGGTGGGATCAGGTACCATGAAGGAATAAGCACCCCCTGTCGACCGGTCACACCTGTTGTGTGCTCCTTGTCATGATCGGGAAATAACAAGACAATCCGTCGTCAATTCAGCATATAAATAATGTACTAACAATTAGAATGAAAAACGTCCGTCAGTATTTGAGTCAATGATAAATTGTATTTGCTGACAAGGTCATTGTATCGACCATACAACTTACGAAATGATGTCTTTAAACGAGACAGCTGATGATTTTGTTTTATTAATTTGTACATCATTTTTTTTACTTATTTCAAAGACATTGTTGTTTTTCGAAGACATTGTGTCCACGAAGATGTTTCAAAAATTCTTATTAAGGAAATAAAAAAGTCCCAAAATATGCCCCCAATACCTTTCATATGCATAAACATGGAATTTACATGTACTGAATAATTACCGATATTCCTCAATTTTTTGAAGACCATTGCCGTTAATCAGTCTAATTGAGCGACACTAAGCACCTGTATATATTTCATGAACAATGGCTGCTCAATTTGATACTGTAAATAATCTTTTATTCGCGAGAACTTTATTTTCGCGTAATTACGCGAGACAGCGTGCTCGCGAAAATTTCATTCTCGCGTATAATAGTATTCCTTAAGATTATATAGAGCAATAACCGCAATTCGTTAAAATTTTGTCTCGCTAATCAAGAGTCACTGACTATCTCGCGAAAATAAGGTGTCGCGAAAACTAAGTGATCTACAGTATGCATACACTGACATATAATACAATATTTTACATATTAAATTTTGCTTCGAATGTTTTCTCAAAGGACGTAAATGTAAACAATGATTTTCTTTTTTTTTTCTTTGAAAGAAATTTAATGACGCAGAAAATACATTACCCGCATAATGCATGTTTTTTCTATAACATCTGCGACATTTATGCCTGAACAAACAACCGACACTTTGTATTGATTAAATAAAAGCCATACACTGGAATAGAGATGAGTAAATTTTAGAAGGTGTACATTATCAGCTCAAGTGAGATGTGATGGATGTTGATAGCTGTCTTCAGAATTTGCAGGCTAGTTACTCCATCAGATCTTGGATGGTTGTATGATTAAACATACCAGTATGATTTGTACTGTTTGGACATTTGCAAATGTAATTGTTAAAATTCAAATTAATCTGACTCATTGGCAGATGCCTTGGGGGAGTTAGCAACCCCTGCCCACCGGTCATAACCGCTATGTACTCCTTGACATGGTTGAGAAATAACAGAAATGTTCATCGACAATTCAAATCGTAAATAAATAAAATGGCCTTACATGTACAGTAAGTTGGAAAACGTCCGTCGGTGTTTGACTTTATGTAAAATCGTGTTTGCTGACAAAACCATTGTATCGATCATAGAACTAAGAAATATCAATAAATTGTAAGAAACGTTGGATGTCCTCCATGTTGTATCATTTTGACTATTTAAACGCCATTTGTATGACAGGTGAAAGCAACCATATTTGTTCGTGTTTAACAATTAAGATCAGTAAGAACGCATTGATCAATTCGACAATGTTTATATATTTACATCCACTGAATATTTTCTCCTTTATTTCTTAAGAAAACCCATTGCTTTAATCACTGCATGAACTACATTGGGCATGACGCCTGTACAGATTTCCTGATCAGTGGCTGTTCCATCAATGAAACGTATAAGGACGTTCGCATCATTAATACAATAATTAAACTTTTTAATCCTGCTTTAAATGATTATTAAAATAGATATAAATATAAACAATAAAATGTCTTTCTTTGTTTGTTATTACTGGAATTAACGGTCGCAGCTATTGCAGAAAAAATTTACATAACCCGCTTACGCGGGGTATGTATTTTTTCTGCAACAGCTGCTTCCGTTAATTCGAGTAATAACAAACAAAGAAAGCATTATATTGTTTAAATCATATGAACAACAATGATACAGTTTATAAATTCTTCACTCGAATTTTTTCACACTCAGACCTCGTAAACAGACTTTGAGGTTTGAAGATATAAATAAGATTTTTAGCGGTACGAATAAATGCTTATTTCATAAATCCAGTAGCAGTTTTGAAGTTTATTAGTATTCTGAAATAGAATATGTAGATACACGCAGAGGAACAAGGAAGAAGAAAAAATTATAAGTGAGAAAGGGTAACAGGAAGTAACAGGATACAGTATAAATTGAAAAAAAGTGTCAAAATATAAAAATAGAACGTACATGTATCCTTTTGTTTTCTTTTATTCCTACATACATATAGTAGATGAACAGTCACAGTGACTTGACAGCTTTTAACTTTGATTTATGATACATGTACATTGTTGTCCCATATACTAAAATAAGGAAGCATTTTATCAAGGAAGCATTAAAAAAGACATTTTAAAACATGGACGTTTTCAAATGGCGTGAGTCTCTTTCCTCTCTCTCTCTCTCTCTCTCTCTCTCTCTCTCTCTCTCTCTCTCTCTCTGTAGAAAAATAATAGCTAAAAACATTGATTTACGCATTATTCTCTAATACGAGGGTCATTCAAAAAGTTCGTAGACTTTTGTCGTAACTTTTTTATTTAACCATATATTATATCCAAATTTGATACACATATTTTAACAACAAATTCGAATAATTTGAGTGTAAAAGTTTGAATATATCTTCGTATTTTTATAAATTATCAAGAATTTAGAACACCAAAAAATGGGGTCACGGAGCAACATCAAAGATAAGTAATTTAATAATTTTCACTTTATGTTATCTTTAGCCAGAACTCGAATAAATGGAGCTGAAACAAAATCAAACTTACATGTTTAAATTCAGTGTTGTTGTATTACTTAAAATGTGTAATATGTCGTTCTGTTAAAAAGATATCAGTCTCTAAACATATATTAATTTGATTAAAAAAGGCAAAAACCCTGACGTTGGAGGACATCACGGAGCAGCGAGCAGCAATAAAATTTTGCTTTACATTACAGTCTTTAACAAACTTTTAAAAAATATGTATAAACCAAGAAATGTATGGAAAATAGGCCGTGTATTTGTATGAAATTGAAAATAAAATTTTGAATCGTATAAAGTTTAAATCACACTATGCATGGTATGCATAGAAACAGGTTTAAGTTGAAAATCTTGCCAAAAAGAGTTAGGAACGTCATTAAACGTGATTTGCACTTCACTGCTGCGGAACTAATAGAGTTCCGCGGTAGGCTTAAGGAATTAAAAAAAAAATGACAATCTAGTTCAAGCTATATTTGCGCAATTTTTTGCAAGTTAGGTGATTAGTGAATACGTTTTTATGTATGGAGAAGACGCTACCAACTGTGTATAAAATAATAAATGCGGATTCATTTTTAAGAAAAGAATGTTTCCATTTAAGCATAGTGCCGTGGCCCCTTTTCGGACCCCTCTAACTTTATCTAATTAACTCAAATGTTTATTATTTTACACCTAACTCATACTTTGTTATCTTTGTGGTATATTACCTGCAAAAATTCACACTGAAAACGGCGTCTTAGTTTTATAAATGGTAATTTAAAAAGCCATATACTTCGTGTTAATTCCGGAATGTTGCGCTTGTCGAGTTGGGTTTTAATTGTGTCACATTAAAAATATTCATTGTAGGCGGGGTATTTCATCGTGTAATATTTAGCCAGTTATAATGGCTTTTGGTATTTAATACAAAATACAAACTGTATACAGAAAAATAAACACAATTTCAAACTCAAATTTTAAACTCAATTTTTCAAGAATTGCATTTTTTTTTTACGAAAGATGGTACTGGGGGAGGATCTTTGAGATGTATATGATCCCTATAAATCCAGATCCCCCATCTTGTGGTCGTTTCTCGGTGGAATTTTAACTCTAAATTAAATAAACCGAGCCCACTTGTATATGAAAACGGGGAAAATCATATTTAAGAAAACTTCTATATTTTTTAAAAGGTTAGTGTCGTATTGCAATTTTAAACATCTCTCTCTCTCTCTCTCTCTCTCTCTCTCTCTCTCTCTCTCTCTCTCTCTCTCTCTCTCTCTTCGTACTTTTTAAAGTACAGTAAATACCCTGTACTTCTCACAAATAATGGTGTACGGAATATTTTTTGCAATGCTGCATATGGTGATATTTTATCACTAAAACAATTTCATTAATTGTATGTGCGATTTTTTTTTTTGTTTTTAGTTTGTTTGTTTGTTTGTTTGTTTTTTTTTTGGGGGGGGGGCGGTAAGAATTCCATGTCAGTATTTAACAATCTTGTTACATATTCTACCCCGTGTCCTTATATTTTTTACAATCAAAAATACTTTGAGGAATGATGCTACTTCGAAGATGGGAGCTAAATCTTTGAAACTCGTTGAGCCTCTAAACGTGCCCCATAAATCCAAGGACTAAAAATGAAACATCGTTATACATTTGTTTCCAATTCATTATTCCAGCACCCTATTAAAACACTTGACAAAAAAGAAATAATTCTATGTTGATTGATTGAAAATGTATATGTAAACAGTCTAAGTTGGACGCCTTTCGATGAAATCTACAACCACTTGCATGGTTTATCGATTTTTTTGTATTCACAATGTTACCTGAGTATACAAATCACGTGGTAAATTGGAATATTAAACAGGTCACAATGAGGTCAATGACATGTAAATACCCGTAAACAGTGAAGAAAACTGTCGGCGTTTTGTACCTTTTTTCAAAAAGTTAACCCCGAGCGCAGGCTTGCCCAAAATTCTCCCTTAAATATGTTGAATTTCCAAAAGTTCTACACCTTCTGTCCTTTTGAGGAATTTGGGCAAGTATGCGCTCACTATGTTTTTCAGCTCTAAAAATCGGAATAACTTTGAATAACAATGGAGATTCGTGATTTGCATTGATCCCTCTTACAAAACACAGTCTCGTTCTTCTATATTACTCACTTTTAATTTCTGTAATTTTGCAAAGTTGCGATCTAGACCTTGAAGAATTGTTTTATTAATTTCATTACGCTTCTTTCTATACCTTATTTTTGCGCAATTTACCGGGGGCCACGTTAAGTACACTAAGTGCAATATCATTCTTTCTCGACGTTTTTTGGACGTTACAATGTTGGTTAACCGTGCTCCGTGGTAACAAAACATGTTGTTTTAAAAATTGCTTAGCATGAGTTCAGTTTAATCAAATGGAATGAAACTTCATATATCGACAAATTAAATGTTTTTATTTACAAAACTGTGTTGATTTATAATCTTGTAATAATAATAGGACAATGAGGAACGTTGTCTACGTATTTTTAGAATAACCCTCGTACATCGTTTTATTCACATTTTAAGCTCTACTGGCCAAAGACCAGAGTAATGCGTCTGTCGTCGGTATAGCTGTGTGTTTGTCCGTCCGTCTATCTGTCTGTAAACAATTTTTCAAAATGCTACTACTCATACAGTTTTGGTCTGATCTCGATACACAAGTAGATTGGCACACAAGTACACTACACTAAAATTACATAATTCTGTGTATGGGTTTTCGATTTCGATGGTTACTTAAAATAGAAATTGTAATATAATATCAACGGACACCGGTTTGGTGTATGAAACAGAATACTTTATTAAACACTGACAGTACAGTGGAGCATTCAGACATCTGACATGGCGGGTAGTTTTACAGAGATGATAAGGGCAGATAACCCCAACTTCCGTTACATGTGTTAGATAAGTCGTACATAAACATACTATTGTACATTACATCCCCCTCACTAAAATTAAAGACAGATTTTTTTTTCATTTAACATACAGATACTGTTTTAAGTGTGTAAGGCGTTCAATAGTTCATGGCAAAAGTTTTGATTTTGTTTCAAACACTCAATATAAACAAATCAAATAAGAACACTATTTATAACAAACATAGCAGAACTTTTGTTCTGGCAGCTGCACGGGGATTATTATGCCCCTACGCACAGTGCAAACTGCTGACTAGATGCAACTTAAATCAAAAGTTACTAACAGAATTATTTACAAGCACTTCACAAGTCGAGTTTCTCAGGAGGTTTAACGAGTCGTCCCGATCTGGTTTGGAGTGCGTTTTTGTGATTGGTGGGTTTGTCGCTGACTTGAGGTGTAGCAGCATTTTCTATGGTAGGCTCATTGGGACTGCTGTCTTCCATGGGAATGTCCTGCTCAACCGGTTCGTCTTGAGGGTGTTCGCTTGATTTGTGGAGGTGAACCCGATTTCTGCGATAAAGTCTTCCTTTGCTTTTCACTACATAGGATCTTGGTTAACGTTTGTCCGTTTTCTCTACGACAATTCCTGGGAATAAGGACTTTGAACCAGGCGTTTCCATTCTGACTGTTGTTCCATTGTCTAGGGGTGATAACTCCTTCACATTTCTTCTCCTGTCATAGTAAAATTTCTGCTTGGCTTTCTGGACATTAAGGTGTTGCTGTACTTTTCTTAGGTCGTGTGTTGCTGGTTTAAGTAGATCTTGTGATGCTGGAAGCGTGTTCCTAGGTCTGCGTCCCATTAACAGTTGAGCTGGTGACAGATTAATGTTTTCTAGTGGAGTTGTTCTGTAATCTAGTAGAGCAAGTTGCTTGTCGTCACACTTTGTCCATAGGTTCTTTATAGTTTGTACTGCTCTCTCAACCTCGCCATTCGAGCTTTGAAAATGAGGGCTGCTTCTTTCGTGTTCAATTCCAAGCTCTGCGCAAAAGGTTTTGAAGGTAGCTGAGCTGAATTGTCAGACCTGAGTTTTCCTGGAAGTCCATGCCATGCAAAAATTGTTTTCATGGCTTCTATTACGGCTGTAGTTGTCTCTGATCTGAGGTATTTCTTGCCTCTCAATTCAAATACATCAGCTCCAACATGAGTGTATGGTAGATCTGGAGTTGGTGTTGGCATTAGAGGTTCTCTGTTTTGCTGTCTTTGATACTCTGCACAAGATGGACAGTTGCTTACGGCCTGTTCTATGTCAGATTCATGGCTGGCCAATACATGACCTCTCTGGCGCGACTCTTTGACTTGACTATCCCAAGGTGAGACTTGTGTATAAGGTTAAGCATCTCTTTCCGCAAGCTGGGTGGGATGACTATTCGACTTCCCTTGTACACAATGCTGTCAAGAACGGATAGCTGATCCCTCGAGTCGAAGTACTGTCTGACCTCAAAAGGAGATTCGTTCTTTGTGTCTGGCCATCCTGTTTGAATGGTGCTCATGAGAGTTTTAAGTTCACTTCTGGTTGATCTCTGGATTTCGGAGTATTTCTCGGGTGTTATGGATAACACACAGATCATGTCCGCTTTCTCTGTGTCCTCTTCACCGCTTTCCTCTAGGTAGGCCCGTGATAGCGTGTCTGAAATGTACATCATAGTTCCCTTCCTGTATTTGACATTGATGTCGTACCACTGTAGTTTTATCATCATCTTTTGAATCCTCATAGGAGCTGACAGTAAGGGTTTGTTGAACAAAGTCTCTAACGGCTTATGATCACTGTACACTGTGACCTCCTTGCCAAAAATGTAGTTGTGAAATTTCTGACAACTGTACACTATAAATTGCATTTCTTCCTCAATTTTTGCGTACCTTTTCTCTGTTTCTGTAAGAGCTCTAGAACCATAAGCTACTGCACGGCCTTCCTGTATCAAGACTGCTCCAAGTCCATCTTTACTTGAATCGCACTCGATCTCGACCGGTTTATTCACGTCAAATAGAGCTAATACTGGTGGCTTGGTACACACGTCCTTAAGTTTCTGAAAACTTTTGTCTTGTTCATGGTTCCACTGGAATTCCACATCAGACTTGAGAAGGATTCTTAGTGGAGCGTCCAAATCACTCAAGTTTGGAATGAATTTCGACAAGTACTGTATGAGTCCAAGGAACCTGCGGACACCTTCCTTGTCATATGGAGCTGGCATGTTAAGGATAGCCTTGATTTTGTCTGGGTCTGGTTTGAGTCCCTGGTCCGACACTATATGGCCCATGTATGGCACACTAGACTTACGAATTTTGCATTTTTCAAAGTTCAATTTCAGATTGTAGTCTGTTGCCCGTTCCACAACTTTTCTAAGTATGGCATCATGTTCCTCGAGTGTTTCACCTGCGATGAGGATGTCATCTAAGATGGCGGACGCACCTTTGATTCCAGATATTATGTTGTCCATGATCTTCTGATAGATTTCTGGTGCTGATTTTATGCCGAAGGGTAGTCGGAGCCAACGATATCTTCCTATCGGTGTGTTAAATGTTGTCAGGTACGATGACTTCTCGTCGAGCTGAATCTGCAAAAATCCAGATTTGGCATCCAATACTGAGAATATCTTGGCTTTCGGTATGTCTGATATGACATCGTCAATAGTTTTCATAGGGTGATGCTCACGTTTTATGGCGCGATTTAAATCCCTTGGATCTATGCAGATGCGTATCTTTTCTCCCTTTACACTCACTACCATTGAGCTGACCCACTCTGTTGGCCTGTCCACTCTCGTGATGTATCCATTAGCTTCCATCTCTCTCAGCTTGTCAACTGCCCTGGGCTTAATTGCTGCTGGGAGTTTCCTTACCGGATGAATAACTGCAGGTACGGATTCGTCTATACTGAGATGGTATTCTCCGGGTAGTGTTCCTGTAGTTTCTACGAGTTGTGGATAGTTTCTGGATAGTTTACTTTGTGCACTTTCTGTAGTCTCAGTCACAGCTGATATCGAAGTCTGCAGAATTTTTCACTCATATGGAGACGTCACCGTATGCCGGTGAAGGGGCACTCAGGGCCATTGAGCGGTTTTGTATATCAACCCAAGAGTAAGTGCAGTATCAGCACTAATGATATTCTCTTGATCCAAGTCGACCACTTCAAAGTGAACGTTAGTTTTATGATCACGGTAAACAACTGGAAGAGTTACTGATCCTATTGGTTTGATCTTATGGTTGCTGAATGACTTAAGAGTCTTGTTGGAACTCTCTAGTGTGCATCCTCCCAAGTTTCTAATTTGAGCAGATGTAAGTATATTAGTCCGTGCTCCTGTGTCTATCCTGCAGCGAATCTGCTGACCTTTGATACCAAGACGAACGTCCCAGTTGTCATCCTGACTGGACTTGACGGAAGTACACATACTAATGGTAAGTAGTTCCTCTTCCTCTGACTCTGTATCTCGCTGTACCGTGCTGACTTTGATCTGTTTCAGCCGCCGCCGACACACTTTCTTCCAGTGGTTTCGTTGTTTACAGTAACTGCAAATGGTTCCTAGTGCTGGGCACTTTCCACGTTCGTGTTCCAAACCGCAATTTGAACAATTTGGTTTAACACTTTATAGGCTTTGGGTTTTCCAGTTTTAACAGTTTTGTTGCACGACACATTGAATTTGGTTGTGTGTTTCTTTTGTGAATGAGAGTCAATTTTCAACACTTCCTCTCCTCTCATTAATTTGACTTGTGCTTGTGACAGTTCAAATTGTTGTCCAATTTCTATAGCTTTCTTGAGTGTGATATCCTGGCCTTGTTCTAACAGTCTCTCTTGCACTTTCTTATGCCTGATGCCACTAATGATTAAGTCAATCAAAACATCATTATTATCAGCGTAATCACAGTCCATAGCTAAGATTTTGAGATCCTTAACAAAGTTATCAAAAGTTTCGGCCTCTTTTTGTGTTCTCTGGTGAAGTCTGAATCTTGCCATTCACTTGTTTTTCTTGGGGCGAACATAGTTTTCTAATTTGTCCAAAATTTTCCTAGGGTCGTCTTCATCGTCATTTACAAACACAAAAGTCTTGTACACTTCCCTACCTCCTTGTCCAATCCACATGCCGATCCATCCTGCCTTATGTTTGGCATCGGATTTCGCTAGTGGCCCTTTGATTGAAGATGAAACCCACGTGTTGCTTGAACCGACAAAATTCCTGGTACAGATCTCCGGCTTGCCAATCGAATCTGGGCTGATGGAACGGAAGAGTTGCCATTCCGAGTTCGAGTTACTTCTGACACCATGTAATATATTATCAACGGACACCGGTTTGGTGTATGAAACAGAATATTTTATTATACACTGGCAGTACAGTGGAGCATTCAGACATCTGACATGGCAGGATGTAATTTTTTTAACTCATGTATGTGTCGGGACATAATTGTACCATAAAATATGAAATTTTCACTTCATTCTGGAAGTTCGATGAAATTTTATCGTAAATTTTACACGGAATGTCCAAACAAATGAGGCCTTGAAAATTACGTCAAAGGGGGTAGGGGTTTCCGTTTCCAACATTCTAAAAAGTTTTGCCCCTGAAAAACTGGTATAGACCTAAAATATGTTGAAACTGGCTACAGAGAAATAATATGCATCCAGAGTACTTGTCTTTTAATGTCAAAATAGATTTAGAGAGAAAAGGGATACACAGTTAATGTCGATTTGCAGTCAAGGTGTGAAATATCAATCACGTCAAAAAATGACGTTGATCAAGTGTTGTAGATATTGATCTCTTAAAAGCAAAATATGCCGGCACAATTAAGCGCGGATCTCTCCCAATGTATTAATCCAACTGGAAAATTATATTCATTGAAGGCCATTTTTCATGACATTGTAAAGTCATATAACCAGGACGGGTTTATAAGTCCTTACTCAGCTCCAGGGAATCTCATCAAAAAATTGTATGAGGTAGATGAAGCGGACATTGAAAAAACAATGACGTTATCGGACGTCACGAAAATAATATAAACGACGACAGCGCCGGGTGATCATACATGTATAATGTCGTTTTCATTTTATAATAATTTGGCAAATAATGAACGTACACTGTATCAGGCTAAATTTTTCAACATTTATTTTTTTTTCATGTTCCATATACATGATATAAATTTTGAAAGCACAGACAACATAGTACTTATTTTATAGCCTCAGTCCAAGAACTTTTTGATAACCCCTCGTATTATCATCCGTTTTGTGTTTTTGATTTTGATGAACAATGCTGCCAATGTACCTAAACTTGATAATGCTGTAACATATTATTTAAAGCTACTCCTACAGTTATAGTCTTATTGCAATCTTGCCACAAAAAGAGACTTCATTAAGGATCATTATTCTATTTATTGCTTTTTAAAAGTTTAATGTCCAAACTGCTATTTTTTTCTTCCTTTATTATATGTACCAACCAGTAGAGTTAATGTCTCGAAAGAGACTTCTGGTTGTTTGTTTCTTAATGTTTTTTGTTTGCTTTTAGTTTTGCTGGTTGTTTTTGTCCTGCACCTCGTTCATTCATATACTTATACGCTACAAAGGTATGTTCTTTTAAGTTAAACTTTCTCTTCAAACTATAATATCGAATATTTTTGTGTGGGAGATTTTTGAGGCATGGGGAGCGATTAGGTACTTAATATTTGAAATCGGGTTAGCTGAGAAATTTGATATTGATAATTATGTGGCACATAACGTATTGATATCATTTACATCCTCAAAAACAACACATTTTTAATTAAACCCTACAAGAGTATGTTATTTAACAGTGCAAAAATACTTGTTTTTGCTCATGAGGTCATAGATTTCAAATTATTTATAGGGGTCAACAGATTTTTTACTTAAAAAATTAATTTACCATATTCTTTCTTTACAATGAAAGTTATAGGTGTAGAAAAGATTTCTAACCACACAAACAGCCTGTCACTCAGTATAATCTTTTCTGTAGACAACGCAAAGAAATTTGTATTAGAAAACTAGCTAGGAAGCCTTTCCCTATGAATGTAATTGCAATGTCGATAGTGGTTGACATTTTTCTAGTCCACAGCATAACAAATGTAAATAAATGTGATGGGACTTTTTAACCATAGACAAATATCAATCTAAATCATGTTCATGTTTTTTTTCACCGTGTAACTGCGGTTCTGCTGAACACACTATTACAGCTGTTAACGTATATGTAGTTAATAGTGGGGAACTTTGATTCTTTTATCCTCAGTAAGATATTAACAATAGTGAAAGAGAAGTTTCAAGGGTATTGTCCAACAATATATTCAAGAAGTGGTGTAAATCAGATGTTTATACAAAAAAATTTCAAAGAACTTTTGGACAATTTTAACTCAAGATTTAACCAAAACCAACAGCTTATAATACCTACAACTTTTCAACTTTATACGCAACCATTCTCCACGATAAATAAACAGATTATTATCCTTGTACAAATCATTTGATACATGCATATTAAATAAAAGAAAATCATCGTAAATAGGTTTAGGCAATGTGATTTCATATATGATTTATTTAAAGCATCTTTAAAAAAAAAAGCAAACGAACAAACACAACATACTGTAATGTTTCAAAATACTTCTAAAAAATGGCAGAATGTGTTACTTCTCTATGAATGATAATATGCTGAAAATCCAAAATACTTCATGCATAAAAAAGCATTTTTTTAAATTTAGATGCATTAACCTAATTCAATTTGACTTATTTTTACTTGCTAAATAATAAAACACCAATAAATTAAATGATTTAAGTCCAAAGGAACTGTACTTATTAAAATTATTATGCATGTTTGGAAAGATGATAAAAAAAAAAGACACATTTTGTTTATTTTAAGCCGATAAACCTTAATTTTAAAAGCATTCTTTTTTATTTACGTACAGTCAGGTTACATTCATTTATTAAGTAGAGATATTTGACCAACTTTGATGCAATTTTTTTTTTCATTACTTAGAACATTTTATACCACCTGAGCCCATGGCATGAGATTTCTGATCACATTTTGTCTATCGTCCCTCCATCCAACTATACGTTATTTTGTTAGATTTTCACATTTCGGCTTTTCTTTCAAGAACCATCTGACTAAATTTAAACATACTCGGTCCAAAGCATCCTTGGATGAATTGTTAAAATGAAATCCCTTCGCAAGGAGAGATAATCAAGAAAATGACAAAAAAGGGTGAGGTGATTAAAAAATCTTCTCAAGAAGCACATGGCCAAATCTTCTCAAGAAGCACATAGCTGAAAGTTATGTGGAAGCATCCTTGGGTAATGTAGATTCTTCACTGTTCAAACCATGAGCCCCGGGGTACGGCGGGTCACAATTTTGAATCCAATTTTTACATCGAACTACATAGGTAAAAACCTAAATAATGTCCTTCTGAAGAATCACCGGACCAGAAAAGTTGAAACTTATGTGGAAGCAACCCGGGGTAGTGTATATTCTAAATTGTTCAAATTGTGGTCACCGGTGGAAAGGCGTGGCAACAAATTTACATTGAAAAGAATAGGTAATACCTTTAAAAATCTTCTTCTTACCAACTGCCAGACCAGAAATCTGAAAGGTATGCGAAAACATAGTGGGGTAGTGTAGATTTCAAATTGTCTAAATTATGACCATTTTGGTAGGGTTGGGTCACAAAAGATATAACAAGGAAAAATCTAGTAAAAACAGCATGGTCAAAACTATTCAGGTGATCTATGTGCCAATGGACCTCTTGTTTACTTTTTAAGTATATACTTTTTTAAGGAGATTATGTGTGGACATTCCGATGAAATTTGCGGGAGACAAACTGGCTTGTAGTTTTATGTCAATAATGGCAGAAACATTCCTCCAGAAAGGTACAAACATCAATATCTCAATATACAACGGTCATTCAAAAATACGTAGAACATTTTCCGAATAATCATATTATTTTTGTTGTTTTCCTATCATGACAGGGGGCACACGGTGCAAGTGATCGGTCGGCAGGGGATGCTCACTGCTTCATGTTTGCTCTGCACCTGTTTTGTATTGTTTATGGACTTTTGATATTGGTTACCGTTCCATAGGCGTCGGAACCTGAGCGCAAGGTGGGGGGGGGGGCCTTATCCCTTCACCACTTTTTTTTCCAAAGACTTAGTTTAGACATTGAACAATGCAGTGTATAGGTTTAGCCCCCCCCCCCCACTTTCCACAGACACGCTGCGGTATAGGTTTAAATTAAAATGGGGAGAGTGGTGGTGTTTAGAAAAAAAATGTTACTGAAGTTCGAATTAACACCTCCCCCCACCCCTACCCTTACGAAATAGGATTTCCTTTTTTCTTTGACAAGAGACATTTTCTTTTCATTTTTTGCTTGTCAGGTTTTTTGTGGGTCTAAAACACTTAACAAAAATAAAATTCTTAGACTTAGCCCCCCTCCCCCCCCAACCACTTTCAATTTGCTTCGGACGCCATTGCTTTCATCAGATCCATGAGTTTCGTTCTATTAAATCGAAGATCAATATATTTTTATATGTAACAATATTTATTCTGTCGATGTGTGAATTTTCATTCCATATGATTTAATGAAACTCATGTTAGCTTATTCCAAAAGTAACAGTTTTGTCTAAAACTTCAAAACTTTAAAAGTCTCTTTTAGGGGGATGGTATTTAAAATTTATTTCAACATTACATTTTCAAAGACACATTTCGTGCTTCAGTACCATTTTATACTGAAAGGAAAAAGAAACACATGAGAACATAATATGCGAAAAAAAAATTAACTATGTGGCGAAAAATTATGAAAATTTGTCAGATGTGTATTTTGGTTACATTGCACAAAATCGCTGGTCAAAACTACTCAACCATGAAGTGTTTGGCGTCAGGTCAGAATAAATTTCTTGCAATCATTGTATGGATGACGGAAGTTCCATTGAATCTAATGATTAAATTGCATAAGTGAATAAAAAGGTAACAAAATATTGCTGTGCAATTTGCTTATAATTTTTCAACCAAATTTTTTTTTCGGTTGCCACAGAGTTACTTGTTTCCAGCCAACCATGACAGTGACGTCGGTGTGTAAAAACGTAAAATTTAGATAAGACCGCGGAACATTAACTGGCAAAATTGGAAATATGCAGCTTACGTCATTTCTATCTGTTACAATCAAAACATTCAGTGATAGACAACGAAATGGGCGGGTGCAATTCGACACGGACGTTTGGAAAACATGCAGATCGAAATTAATTTTCAATCCACCTCAGCTACGCTAGAAGGCACATTATTACTGATTGACCAAGAAGACAAATAATTTCAATTTTGGTAGTTTGAATTTTTTTATCCAGTGCTTTAAATGAAAAAAAATATTTAAGGGAGAAATATTTCTTTTCTGTTTGGTAAATATATGTATATCTTTGTGTTGGTGGTTGGAGGGGGGGGGGGGGGTTGAACGATTTTTAAATAAAGTTGTCCAACAGTTTTCAGTGAGAATAAGTATAAAACTCATGTACTCTTATAATCCTAAAAAAATATATATATTGTCATGTTAAGCCATGACCTGACTCGACCATTTTTACCCCCCACCCCCCTTCTAGAATCAAATATCTCCTGAAAAATAACCTTTGTCTTGTATGATATTTCGCGTTCTTAAAATTATAAGCTAAAACTCATATTAAGGTACTTGTTTACTCAGAAGGAAAAAAAAATCTACTGATGATAATTAAAACTCGTCTATTAAATCAGCAAGACACACGTATGTATTGACAAAATCTACTTTAAAACATGTAGGTCAATGACCTACTTTTTTTGCTATTAGCCAATGAAATCAAAGCATGAATTCACCATTGTAGATATGGATTTTTAAAGGTTACTTCAATCTTTTACTAAAATTTTTCTTGCGAGCATGTAATTGAAACATTCTACCATATTAATTTATTAATCAAGGTGTTATCTTAAAAATAACAACAAAATTATTACAGAAATCTATCACGTTTTTATTTTCTGTAACCCGAATTTCCTCTGTTCCATGACATTTTATGCATGTAAATAAACCTTTTTTCATTCAAATATTCTAAAAATTTGACTGATGATAACTCTTATTGGTTGTTTTATACATACAGAGAACATCTCCTAAGAAATAAAAATTAATCACAAAGTGGGTGTCAATGATCAAAATTCTGAGATATTTTGTTACAAATAACCTGAATTTCCTCCGTTTCATGACATTTTATGCATAAAAATAAACCTTTTTTCATTCAAATATTCTAAAAGTTTGGCTGATGATAACTCTTATTGGTTGTTTTATACATACAGAGAACATCTTCTAAGAAATAAAAATTAATCACAAAGTGGGTGTCAATGATCAAAATTCTGAGATATTTTGTTACAAATAACCTGAATTTCCTCCGTTTCATGACATTTTATGCATAAAAATAAACCTTTTTTCATTCAAATATTCTAAAACATTTGGCTGATGATAACTCTTATTGGTTGTTTTATACATACAGAGAACATTTTCTAAGAAATAAAAATTAATCACAAAGTGGGTGTCAATGATCAAAATTCTGAGATATTTTGTTACAAATAACCTGAATTTCCTCCGTTTCATGACATTTTATGCATATAAATAAACCTTTTTTCATTCACATATTCTAAAAATTTGGCTGATGATAACTCTTATTGATTGTTTTATAAATACAGAAATCACCCTGAAATAAATAAAAATTAATCACAAAGTGGGTGTCAATGATCAAAATTTTGAGATATTTTATTACAATTAACCTGAATTTCCTCTGTTATTTTTCAATTTCATGTGATATTCCATTATTTCTCTTTATAATGTACAATAAAAAGAAGTTGAATTGCTTGACAAAATCTTTTCATGTCAACTTGGTGTGATTTTTTGAACTTCAAAAATAGTTTATTGACATTATTCTAGGAAAGTAAGGGAAACAAACTTAATTACAATCCATTGTCCCATATTCTACACATTCTCGATTTAAATTATAGCAAAACCAAGAGATCATACAAAATTCTGGAATACACATGCAGTGTATGAAAAAAACCAGTACACTCAATATAATTTAAAATTAATTTTTTAATCATTTAGTTAAAATAAATTAAATTTACATGCAATAAATGTAATGATTAATAAATCAGAAATGAATTAATGCATGAACAAAGTAAAAGATAGAATGTACTATTTCTTATATGACTCAACATCATCCATTTCAAGACAAAACTAATGATCAACTTCTTTCATGAATTTTGCACAATATGACCTCAATGTTTGTGAGCAAAGTACAAGAAGCAAAACTTCAGAGAATATACATCTAGTGATCATTTAACTTTCGTTTGAAGACATGAAAAACTGGGTAACAATATCAATAATTTTCTTGCACTTCGTAACTCTGACAGATTTGTTGTCACACTGCTCAGTGAATAGATTATAAATGCCATCAGGACTTCTAGAATGTGCTAATCTGAGACAATCAAAGTTGAGGCCACTACCTGCCACCTTCTTTGCCATTCTGACACTCAAAACATTTTTATCAATCAAACCTTGTAAGGATGGAATGTTTCTATCTACAACCTTCTGGTAGTTATGGACACTCAAAGCATACTGAAATGTAAATGTACAAGATGAATGTTCACCATCACCATGATCACAAAAATGAACAGTGTCAAATAACCTCTGCAAAGCCAAAACATCCTCTACAGCATCATGTGCATTGTAAGTACATTTTAGCAGCACTTCTGATAAATATTGCTGGCTATATGAACACAAATTTGGATGGACAAGTTTGAATAGAAATCTAGTATCTAAAAAACCTTGTACACATTTTAACATTCGATCCAACAGCGAACAAGAATCTAGAGCTTGAAAAAGAACATGAACATCAAAACTTTTGATATTGTGGCCAACTAAAATAACGTTGCCTTGCTTCTCAATAAAGCTTAAAAAAGAGCCAAGTGCATTGGAAATTGAAACAGCATTGACTCTTCTCTCATGGTGATAGAGGGTTCCATTATCAAGCTTTAGGCCGGTAATTGTGGAGGCAGAGGGTGTAATTGGCTTCTTAGGCATTACATAGGAAGAAAATGTCTCCTTCCCACAAATGGCAGCCACCTGTAGAATGTGTGATGTTCTCGCTGAAATAAAAAAAAAACAGCAATGACATTTATTACAAAAAAAACTACCAAAATCTACAATAGCATTCATTATCTTTTTAATTTTTTGTACCAAAATCAGCATTGGCTTTCTTTCATATTTTATAAATTAGATTAGACAAATTTTTTTTAAGTTTTCCATAAAACCAATTGTACAAATTTAGTTTAGAGAAATAAAATTCATCAATACCAAGTCCTGTTGTTTCCAGGTCAAAAAAGACAAATTTTTTGTCTTTAGTTGACAAACTCTGCTGTTGTGGTTCAGATGAGGGTGGTGGAATTTCATCAACTACAACATTGGAATCAGATATTCCAACCCCAGACTGATATGTTGGGCCCTCTCTTATCTCTTTACATACTGTGGTCTGGACTCTGCAAAGGCAATACAATTTTGAACATCAAAAACTGAACAACTAGTATTTGAACCCTCAAAACAAAATTAATTTTCAAAACTTAACAAAAAGAGCAAAGTTAAAATATTTAAGTATGCATAAAATGCACAACCAATTTTGTTCTGTCAACATTTGATACTATCGTTATGAATACCTTACAAAATTATGATAAAGCTCCAGGTATATGACAAACAGCAAAGTCCAACACAATCAAACCCCACAAAGAGGTTGGAGGTGGAGGTGGAGTACGTAATTCTGTATACAGGGTTATTTTTTGCCGTTTTGCACTTGCAAATAATTTTGCTCCATTTTAAATT